GCGAAAACATTTACACTTAAATAAATTAGAATGTCAAATGTCCCTATATAAATTTAAGGAGGATAGCAGATTTGCTTGGCTGATTCACAATTAATTTTGACAGAAAAGTATTTTTCACAACCCAGAGTCTATAAACATAAAACTTGAACTGACAATCATATCCCATTTCAATAAAATACAAAATAATTGCATTCAAAAGTCAACAGACAAAAGTAAATTCATTATCATTCATTGTGTGGTAAATTCTTATCATTCATCGTGATATAAAGTCATGGTATTGCATTGCATACAAAATAGTTAAAATTAACGAAATAAGAAGGGAAAACAAGTTACTTGACAGCTTCTCGTGAACCAGTTAGCGTACAAACACGCTCAGGTAGCCCACCGCTTTCCGGTGCCATTTGAATCTTACATCCTGTTTCGGTTTGCAATCTTGTTATCTGTTCTCCACCTCTGCCAATTACTGTAAATATATTATTATTACTTAAACGTAATTATATATCTAATGCTCCTATTATTACATTTCAATTACAAGTATGAAAGAACCAATCGATACAACAAAAACAATACACATAACTATTCTAAAACGCAACAAGTATTTTCTAGATTAATGTTAAGACAATAATAATACTTAAACTATTAAATTTATATGGTAATATTATCATATATATATATATATGTATCAATAAATAATAAACTGAGGCTATCATAACATACAGCGGGTTCTTAAATAAGAACAGATTTAATGCAACATATTATAGAATATTCATTTATAAAATATCAGTAATCTCTTCCATAATTTTATACTTACTTAAACCAACCATTTTGTCTGGAACTCTGATATCTTCATTGCACATACTACATAACGGATTGGAAGGCGGTCTGGCTCCTTGACCACTTGAATCTCCAATGGAATTGCCTGCAGGTCCTCCACGAATACCTATTAAAGGATCTGCTACTAACGATGCCATTTTCTTTGCTTCTGGCTCTAAAAATACAAAACATAACGCAATGTTAAGGAGACACGGTAGTGTCTCGGCGCTAAGCCAAGCGCAGTACAGAATATACACAAATCTAAAAAATAGTTTGTTAACCTTCACCAATAAAGATCCATAGAAGAGATCAATATATTTATAAATATATGTATTACCTGAACTATCTTCAAGAGGACGTTTTAACTTGGTATCCTGATTATTTTGAGTACCACCAGGATTTATCTTTGCGGCAATCTGGAAAGATTAATCAAAGATATCAACTTAGAACAGAATGCTTTATTTTCTAAACTGAATTATTATATACTTCTGTATAAATATTTCAGTTAAATGAAATATTATACAAATATTGTATTATACACACATTATATTATCCGCAGAAGAGCCAAATTGGTTATCACTACAAAAAAAAAGAGAAAACTGAACGAAATATTATAAACCAATCATATTTCTGATATTAAGAGATTTATAAATATAGATCAATCTAGCCAGGCTTGTATATCGTAGAAATTTTCTCAAATCGGTTCACCGTGTATAAAATAAAATAATTCGAGAGATAACAGTCGCATCGGGACGGTCGCGAATTGCCGCGAGGAACGTGACGCTCAACTCACGGTAGACGCACACGGCTGACACGGCGTCGTCCGCCGTCGTCGACGTGTCCATCGCGGAACTGTGATTACCTGCTTGGCGCGTTGGAGTGCCGCTGCGAACGCGGTGCTTTGGCTGAAGTTCTGAGGCGGAGCGACCGCTGAGTAGTCACTCATGTTGGTGCATGAATAGTTATTGGGACGGGTTGAAGAATTTAGTTCAGGTTGCTGATGCTGGTTCGATCACCGGCTGTCCCAACGATCCGCCTCACCGTTGCGAACGGTAACCCGTTGGAACGAAAACGGCTTGCAGACGCGAGAAATAACACTTTTACGGAACGTACGACGCCGTACGTAAAGAAAGGAAAAGTTTGCTCACTTTACAGCAGTCGCGAGTGAAAGAACCGTACTTTCACGGGGGAACGCAGGGGAACGACACAGCGCAAGCGTCCGCCGTTGGGTGCGCGGTCTTTTTAGTATAGTACGGAAACTTGCGGAAACTTGCGCCCTCTCGTCATGAATCGTCAATAATTAGAGACGCGGGATCACGTGGCGGGATGCCGTCGAGAATGGTCAAGAATGGCTGCGTTCAGCAGACTCAACAGTTGAGTGAGCGCTCGTTGCTACTGGTGTATTCTTCTAGGTCTAAAATTCTGATTGGATAATCTAAAAGAATACACCAATAACAGCGAGCACTCACTCAACTGTGAGTCCGACGAATTTTTGTAAACCGAAATCAGACTAAGCATTAAAGATTAGGTCTGTTCGCGTTGCATGAAATCCCCAAATATTTTTGCGCTTAAAATGAGATAGATATATATTTGGCCTTGAAAAGAGAGAAAGTTAAGATATCGAGTGCCAAAAGTGTAAGCAACGCGAACAGACCTATTGAGATTAAACATTAAAATTTGACCAATCAAAACAATAGGAGCTAAAATTCCTTTGCCCTGATTGATCGAATTTTAATCTTCAATCTTCGATCTCAATCTTCAATGCGTAGCCTGATTCCGGCCTAACGGTGAAATCACACGGTGCGGAAAAAGACTGCGGAATAGAGAATGCGTCATTGAAGCAACCAATCAGCGCTATTCCGTATAGCACTGAATAGCGCTGATTGGTTGTTTCAATGACGCATTCTCT